GTACGTAAGTTATAGTACCTACTACTAACGTAAACGTAAACGTAACTAACTACTATATATACTACTCTCTCTCTCTCTCTCTCTCTATATATATATATATATATATATATATATATATATATATATGTGTGTGTGTGTGTGTGTGTGTGTGTGTGTGTGTATAGGGGAATGATCTCATGCCACGATGTCATTGTAATATAATGAAACCACACTTCTAGAAAACCATGGTTGTGGCATTTTTATGATCCCAAATTTTTCACATGCTCTCATCAACAGTAATCAATTCCCAAAACAAATAAAATTCAATTTGCACCCTAGAAATGACCAAAATGAGTCTCCTCCAACAATGAATCCAAACCATGCACTTGGTGAATTCAAAACTTTTTTTTTTTTCATTGTTAATCTAACGATAAATAAAGCTATCTAAAAAATTTGGAAAGGGAAAGGATCATTCAAGGCCTAGATCTAAGCATTTCTCTAAAATGGATGGCCTATATAAATTCCGCTAAAAACACTTTCTAGGTTATGTTTTCAAATTTCGCTTTTGTGTAATTGTTCATTAAAATTAAAAGAGTATGAATTTAAAATTTGGCGTCAAACAAATGGCCTTAACATGGCTTTTGAAGATTGTTTCATTATATTACTATAGAATAGTTGCATGAAATCGCTCTCCACACACACGCACACGCACACACACATATATAACAAAGTTCCTTCACCTACAATTGTTACAAAAATAACAAGAGTTTCATTATTAAGGCCTACCTGGCCACCAGTATCTGAATCACGGCCGAGCTCCATATTTTCCCCTCGTATAAGACCATGTATACTGCAACACAGTTGCTCATAGCTAAGACCACGAATAGCAATAAATACAATATGCAATTTCGTTCTTGTGTTGGTGAATCCAATTAATTGATGAAACGGTGAACAGTAATAGAGACATATTGGGAGCATTCAAAAAGGTCAGGTCTTGTTCTGATGGCCCCCACCATCACTTGTCCATCATCAGTGAATGCCCATTGCCCCAAGGACTATGGTCATTCCATAGTCCTTAGGATTACAATGCACTTTCCCTTATATTTTGTCGATAAATGTTAAAAACCTAGCCGGTAAATCAACTTGAGCAGTTTACTAGAAGCTAGCTTGCTAGCAAGCTGTTATTAAAAACATTTCTGTTCATGATGGATGGAATAAACATAGAGAACCTTAGTTTATCTCCATAACTGCATATCCGCAACAGTTTATCTCTAGATTCTTGAAAGTTCCCACAAAATTACTAGCTACACCCTAAAAGTCCAGTTACATGCCTTATCAATACTATGTACAATTTCCGCTCCTTGTGCTGACTAAACCAGGTTTCAAGGACATCTACAGAAGAGATTCTCGGCATTCTGCTTCTAAGTCCATCACCATGACTCGATATATCACTGATAGTATCGCCTTTTTCGCCTTCTGATAGGTCCTCTGACATATCAGCAGTTGCATCTCTGCGGCCCCTTTCACGTTCAAGACGACGCTTAGCCGATCGCTGAGCTTCCTCTCCCTCAATCTAAAGATCCATCAAAACAACGAATCATCACACCCACAGTTGACTTATCTTTCAAGTATGACCTTTAAAAAAAGAGGTAGAGTTCAAAAAACAAGAAACATGCAAAAAAGAACATCATAAAGAAAGAGGATTTAAATAATGATTCCCAAAAATGAGGTTCAGCTTCACTCAGACTGCACTCTTCCAGGCTGTATGCCTTATCAAGTTGAACCAGATAAGTGCCATATTAGAAAAGTGACAGAGAGAAGAAAAAAGCCCTGCAAGAAATAATCCATGTCTAGAATAGTCAAATGCTTGAAAGGATGTCACATAAGTACATATTATACTTTTTTCCTTCTTCAAGTACATATTGTACTTTAGAAGACATGTCAGCACTCTCACGATAATTTTTGCCAATGATGCATGTGTGCAATGTCCATTAGCATCTAGCCAGCAAAACCCCTATGGAAATGAATGTTTCTATGGAAACAATCCATCCAGAAAATATTATAAGCCTGTGTAAAATGCACAATACTAGAGAAGGATGCGAAGCAAGGGCATATTTGCTCTTAAAAGGTACAGCAGTGCATGCATGATGAATGTTGCGATAATGCAATATATTGTATAAAATCAGCAAGTTGATCATCCACCTTCTGGTAGCACTAGAAGCTAAAATATTAAACAGGTGAGAAAAAAAAAATTTAAAAATTACATTTCAACCATCACAACCACAAAATGAAATCCAAAAACTGGCATAACATGCATGATTAGCAACCTGTCTCCTAAACATCAAAACTAAAATCATGTGAATGCATTCAAACATGTTTAATTTCATATCAAATTGAGCTACTAAGGTGTCTAAACGTGTTGACATATAATGATGATGGAAATTTGATCATAACATAAATATATCAATAAATTCACAACTATGCTTGGCAATCAGTAAATCTCAAAACATCTAATGAATAGCCAACAAAATCAGTTTGTTGGGAGTGGGCATCGCAGAAGAAAAGAGTATCGTTTGCAACCAGAAGATGGGAGATGTCAGTTTGTTGGGAGTGGGCACCGCAGAAGACGAGTGTCATCTGCATACAGAAGATGGGAGATAATGAGTTCATTCTTTGAGGTGGAGAAGCCTGTGTGCAGATTTTGGCTATAAATGTTGAACATGGGCCAACTACAGAATTGGCTTATGATCGAAAAAAGAAAGAGGAGGGATCACTCTAGCAGACTAACACAGACCCATTGATGAAAGGAAGAAGTTACAAGGAGTACAATGGACAAGGCCTGAGAAGAAAGCTGAAGACGTCAACCTGATATTTATGAACACCATTTTTGGCCGAATACCATCTTGCTCATGGTCCAATCGAGAATCCTCCAACCCATATAATTGTATGCCCTCTTGAGATTGAGCCTAGGCATTAGGCCCAGTCAGTTGGATTGGTGTCCGGCATGGATACAAACATTGGCAATGAGAGCACCATCAAGGATCTGCCTTCCTTGGCTAAAAGCTCCCACAGTGCAGAAATCACTCGGTAAGCACCAGCTCAGGCAGTAGGCTAGTACTTTAGTCATTAATTTGTAGGAACCAAATGAACAAAAATTTGGCCGCCCAGCCGCCTAGGCAGCTGTTTAGGTGGAATTTTTTAAGAACACCTCGTCCTGCAATAGGCGGCATGTTCTAGGCGGCTTTTGCTAGGCGCCCATGGCACCCCGCTTAGGCGCTGAAAAAAATTCAGAAGAGGACAAAAAATGTAATTTTTTACAAGGGTTTGGGGGGCCATTCTTGCCCCCAAAAATGTTTTTAGTGAAGTTTAGAGTGAGAAAGAACTTGAAGAAAACTAGATTTGAAGACTTGTTGAGAGATCAAAATTTTTATCGACCTCAATAAATGGTCACGATATTAAGGATATTCATCCCCAATCTTTTTGAGGCTTTTAGTGGTTGTAAAAGAGGAGATTTGGGAAGCCAAAAATTTTGGTTTGGCCTGATATCGAATCCACTTCAAGAAGGTTGGTATATTTCTATAGTTTTTATTAGGTTATGTATTTTTTTCCACAATATCTAATGATGTTATTCTTTGCTAGTTGTATTTTTTTTGTGATACTTTGTGATATATATTTGATATGTTATTGTCTATTTGGATTATTATTTTCCCATTTTGTTATTCTTTGCTATTTTTTTTAGTTTTATACATGAATTTACTTGCATGATTCATAACCATAATTTTGTTTATTAGTTAGTTTAACAATTGCTTAATGTTTAATAATGTGTAATATGTTTTTCCGATTTTGTGTTATATCATTGCAATTTCAATGTGTATGTTTTACCTAGATTTATTTTTTGCCTTAATAAGAACTCAATAGATTAAATGGTCAATGTATCTATTATTTTTAGATCATATCCTATTCGTAATTTTTTCAGGCTTGACCTTGTTGTTTCCATGTAATTTTCATACTTAGTTGATAAGTTGATACTTGATAGATAAAGGTTGTGGGTGAAATGACTTCTTCGGCTTCAAATAAACAAAGTGAACCGGGTTGGAAATATGGATAATGTCCCAACCCTAGTTACAAGAATAGAGTAGCTTGCAAGTTTTGCAGAAGAGAATACAATGCTGACATTAATAGATTGAAAAAACATTTGACCGGTATAAAAGGGGATGTGGCATCATGTACTCAAGTCCCTGCAGAGGCCAAGAAAGAGATGTTGGATAACATAAAAGGGTCCAAAAGAAGAAACAACAGGTCAAGAAGGAATATGAAGACGTGAGGACCTCTGTAAACATCCATGGCATAACTGAATATGATGAAGAGGAAGGAGCCTCGATAAGTAGACCTGTTAGCATTGGGCATAAGAGACCTCGAACAAGAGGGCCTCTTGGTACATTCTTCCCACATCCCAATCCCGATGTGATGGTTTGCGAAAGGGAACCGGTATAGAGTACTTTAGATAGTACTTTAAAGAAGCAGGAGAGAGAAAGGGTGAATCAATACGTGGCTCGATGGTACTTTCAATTAGGTCTACTATTTAACACTGCCACTTTAAAGAGTTCCATTGCTATGTTTGAGGCAGTGGGGCAATTTGGCCCAGGATATAGGCCTTCTACACCTTATGAGCTCAATGGGCCTTTGTTTAGGAAAGCGGTGGAATTAACACACGACTACTTGAAGACCGACAAGGATGCTTGGGGCAGATGTGAGGTGACTAGTATGACAGATATGTGGACTGATAGGAGGTCTAGGAGTATAATAAACTTATTAGTTAGTTGCCCCATAGAAACTGTTTTTTTGAAGTCCATTGACGCATCCAATAAGATTCATGATGCGCCCTTCATATATGGTGTTGTGAATCAGTGCATTGAAGAAGTAGGGGCGGCAAATGTTGTGCAAGTTGTCACAGATATGGCTAAGGCCAATATGGCAACTGCTAGATTATTAGAGCTTTCGAGGCCGCACATTTTCTGTACGCCTTGTGCGGCTCAGTGTATAAATCTCATGCTTGAAAAGATGAGAGAAAAGAAATTGGTGCATGAGATACTAGAAAAAGCCAAAGCCATAACAATTTTCATTTAGAGCCACACACATGTTTTGGCAATGATGAGGGATTTTACAGGTGGGACTGGCTTGGTGAGGCCGAGGGTCACCAAGTTTGCCACCTCATTCTTGTCTCTAGATTCTTCGAATAAACAAAAGAACAAGCTTCGAACCATTTTGTATCTGAAGCATAGAAGGGGAACAAGTGGTCTATGGAGGCCAAGGGAAAAAAGGTCTATGACATTATTATGTAACCCAGGTTTTGCAATGGAGTTTAGTTTTGCCTTGATATTTCTGGGCCCACTTGTGAAAGTGCTTTGCCTTGTTGATAGCGAAAGGGACCACCAATGGGGTATATTTTGCTAGAGAATGCATCAAGCATAACTTGAAGCAAGATGAAAAAAGATATGGCCCCATCTTGAGAATTGTTGATGGCAAGTGGGATCTGCAGTTGGTATAGTTTCAAAAAGCGCTAGGCGGATCTTGGGCGGCTCAGGGGGTCCAAGCCGCCCAGCACCTAGGCGGGCGTCCAAAACCTGGGCGGCCCAGTTGAATTGAAATAAGGATTCTGGCATTCTGCAGTTATGTCAGTATCAGTTATATGTATTGCAGTACATAATTCAAATTATACTACATATTATTTAGCATTTAGCACACACTCCATAAGCATAACCATAATCCATAAGTCAGTTCATACTCCATATCCAATTAAAACTTAAAATTTTCCAACCAACCAAATTATCAAACCAAGTTATCAAATAGTATCACACCAGTACTGCAATACACCACCATGAGGAAGAAAACAAAATTGAATGAAACTATGAAAGTAATACTTAAAGACTCAAAATAATCTTCAATAGTTCAATAATCAATACACAATACTTCAATCAAAGTTCAAACTTCAAAGTTTAATAATTATTCAACAATCAACATTCATCAATCATCATTCATTCATCATCAGAAAATCTTGGGTCGGCTGCATTGGCATCATATTCGTCAGAGTTGACAAAGTCGTCACTCTCCTCGACATATTGGTCGTCCATGTCCTCCTCCGTCTCTTCTGAATCAGCCTCTTCTTCCTCCTCTTCCTCCATCCTTGTTCTCTGTGCAGAAGATCTAGTAGCCTTAAGAGAGTCAGCTGATGTCCCTGAAGCATCCATGACCATGTCCCATGTCAATCCTTCATGCCTCTCGACCTCATCATCATCAACTAACCACTCCATAGCATGATCCATATTTTTTGATCTGATGGGGTCTCTCTTATCTCTCTTAGCAAACTTGTTCTTCAAGAATCGATTGTACTTAACATAGACCAGGTCATTGAGCCTCTTTGATTCAAGCATATTCCTTTTCTTTGTATGAATCTAACAAAATCAAATGAAACTAATTAAAATCTATCTATGGTTCATGTATTATTTATAAAATTATACAAATTACCCTTATGGCCTTACCCCTTCAAAACTACTCCAATTGCGCTCACAACGG